AAAGGAAATGGAAGGAGAGGAAGAGGTGGGGAGAAGCAGTCCTGGAGGGGGGGGGGTGTACCTTGAGGGTGTGGCAAGCTTTGATGGTGGTCGCCAGAGACTGGCAGTCTCGAAAGGTGAAGAGGAAGAGGTTCCACTCGAAGTTCATGCCGCAGTCTTTGACCCCGTACACCAGGTCCAGCTCCTCCAGGTGCTTGAGGCCAGCCACCAGCTCCTCCAGCTGGTAGTGGTCCTTCTCAGGCTCGTTCCCCTCTCCCTCACTGCCGGAGTCGGACTGGTCGTCAGGATGGGGCGGGGCTGGCAGCCGCACGGGCGGCAGGAACTGGTCCACTTGGATTCGGCGCACGTAGTTCTTGCAGAGGGGCAGCAGGTCCAGGATCACACTGGGGTCCGTGGTCCCCGGGATGAAGAGCTTCAGCAGGCTCTCCAGGTGTCTCTCGAAGAACATTCGCTTCCAGCTGCCACCGTGCTTGGCCACGTGGCACACAGGCCAGCGCTTGACGCAGCAGCGGTGCCAGTACCTCTCATCTTCGATCAGGTTGGCAGTCACCGTCAGCGGCAGGTCAGGGGGCAGGTGGCTCAGGACCTTCTGCTGGTGCTCTGGGAGCAGCTGCTTCAGGATAGGGTTGTCTTTGGGAACGGGGGGGAAGAAAAACAGGGTTCAGCCGCGAGGCTGGGGATAACACAGCGTGGCGCCCTGGGATGTCCTGCCTAGGGACACACTGAGGGAAGGGAAGGCCCTTTGCGGTCTTGGGAGCTTTGCTCTGAGAGGAGAAACAATCTCTTAAACAGACGCTCTTCAGGGTTCTCTCGCCTGCTGGCCATTGCACCAGGCAGTGTCTGGTCCCAGGCTAACCCGCCTGGGGAAGAACGGACAGACACACAGAGCCAGACCCCAGTGTATTATCTAGTCTGCTGGAGAGACAGCTGACTTCTGAGACTCCCAGTCAGACTTCAACCATTCATTTCAGAATAACTCCATGTACTTCAACACCTACTATGTGCCAGAAGCTGCTGGAGAAAAATGAAGGAAACGTGGGGCCGGAAAGATGGGTCAGTGAGCCAACAATGCTTACTGAGCAGAACTGGTGGCCTGACTTGCACCCCAGAACTCATGCAGAGGTAGAAGAGAGCTGACTGACTTCATGAGGTTCTCTTCTGCTCCCCACATGTGTTCTGTGGTGTGTACCCCCAACCCCGCTTCTCTCTCTCTCTCTCTCTCTCTCTCTCTCTCTCTCTCTCTCTCACACACACACACACACACACACACACACACACACACACACACACCCCAATACATTTAAAAAATAGCCAGGGGGTGGTGGCATACACCTTTAATCCCAGAATTCAGGAAGCAGAGAAGGGTGGATCTCTGTGAGTTCAAGGCCAGCCCAGTCTACAGAGCAAGATCCAGGATAACCAGAGCTATTACACAGAGAAACCCTGTCTTGAGAATCAACAACAACAACAACAACCAAAAAAGGAAAGAGCCAGGGCCCCGGCTTCTTGGAGTTCACACTGGCTTGCTGGAGCACATGGCCAATAAACAACAGAGGAACACACTATGTTAGGTGGCCGGGCCTCAGGAAGCCCTTGTCTCAGGGTGTAGGAGAGGCCCACAACTTTTCTCTAGAAAGGACTAGAGTTCAGAGGACACCAGGAACCCATTTGCATTCTGGAAGACTCTGTCAGATGGGAGACAAGAGCCAGAGAGTTTCCGGGAGGATGAAAAGGAGAATGTGGCCAAGTCCAAGCTTACTGGAGAGAGATGTGAGGAGAGAAGGGTGAAAGCATGGAGGGCACAGTGTGTGTGTGTGTGTGTGTGTGTGTGTGTGTGTGTGTGTGTGTGAGTGTGAGAGTGTGTGTGTG